ATCGTTTTGTTCGCGCACTCTCTAGTATGAATTTTAAACAGCTTGTGACTAAGATAACAAGGCCGATAAGTAAAACATGCCTTGATCATGTTTTTTCTAACCGTCCCGAGAGAATTCATTCTGTAGATGTCAGGGAGTCTGGTCTTTCTGATCATCTACCAGTGTTTGCAGTGCGCACTTACAAAGGAAAGGAGCGCCCCCGTCCACGTGACAAGCCTCACAAAATCACTTACCGTAACATGAAAGATTTTAATGAATTCCAGTTCCAAGCAACATTAAAAGTGATCCCGTGGGACACTGCGTTTGTTTTTGATACCATCGATGATATGCTTGATACATGGGAGCATTTATTCAACAAAGCCCTAGACAGTCATTGTCCTTGGCGCGAAAAACGTGTATCTAGAGAAAAACAAGCTCCATGGATGACACATGATGTTTTGCAGCATATACAGAGGAGAGACTCACTTCTAAAAAAAGCAAGAATCTCGGCTTTGTCTGAAGTTTGGGACAGTTATAAATCGTCTAGGAATAAAGCTACAAATGCGATAAAAACTGCCAAAGCGAAATTTTACAACAATGTTTTGCAATGCAAAGGGAATTTGGAAAACGATTAAGTCACTAACGCGCAACAACAAAAAGAGTGCTAAAACTGAGGTCAATTCAAATGCCAAAAMTGTTGACGATTTCAATTTACACTTTGCATCTATCGCCGATCGCTTAAGGAGTTTATTACCCAGCATTCCTTTCGATATCTCCAAACTTGAAAACTTCGTTCTTTCAAGAAAGGATCCTGATGTTGAATTCTCCATACCATTCATGAGCRAAGGTTATGTCATGGACAGTTTTCTGAGCTTGAATCCCAAGAAAGCGATGGGCATTTACMAATTTAGTGCGCGTATTTTGAAGTCTGCTGCTCCTGTTATCGCATCTTCGGTCACAAAGCTAATGAACTACTCCATTGAATTTTCTGCGTTCCCTATGCGCTGGAAAACTGATAAGGTGACTCCGTTGTTTAAATCAGGCGATCGTGAAGACACTAATAATTATCRCCCAATCTCGGTCTTACCGATTTTGTCCAAAATCTTAGAGAAACATGTACACAACCACCTGTATGCCTATCTGAGTGATGATAACTTATTATACGCACGCCAGTCTGGCTTTCGCAAGCATCATGGAACTGAGACTGCCCTCATTAAGATTGTCGATGAGCTGCTATTCAGTATCGATAGAAATTGCGTTAGCGGTTTAGTTCTGATTGACTATCGCAAAGCTTTTGATATGGTAGACCATCGAATTTTAATGTCAAAATTAAGGGCTTATGGTATGAATGAAAAATCATGCTTATGGTTCCAATCCTACTTAAGTGACAGGCGCCAGTTTGTTTCTGTTAGTGGTATAGACTCTGAACTCGCTGACGTCCCTCATGGAGTGCCTCAGGGTAGCATTCTTGGCCCGCTGTTCTTCGTCATTTTTATAAACGACTTACCATTCCACGTCCAGTCTCCAGACACTAACTTGGATCTGTACGCCGATGATACAACTCTTTCATTCTCGGCGGATGTTACTGATAATGCAAAGGTACAAACGACCCTAACCTCAGCATTGTCGGATGTTGAACATTGGACCAATTGTAATAAGCTGCCACTCAATGAAACCAAGACCAAAACTTTGCTTGTGTCTGGCAAACGTCTGCATGATAAAGTGTCACCTTACTCCTTGTCTGTTGTTTTGGCAAACGGGAACGCCCTCGAACAAGTGGACTCGGTACGACTGCTTGGGGTAGACATTGACAGCC